CTGTCTCAAAAAAAAAAAAAAAAATTGTGGGACATTACCCTTATTATTATTCTCATTGCTACACTGGGCAATTTGGGTAAAGGAAGTGACACGAGCAAGAACAACTTCACTGCTGTGATCTGAAGAACGTAGCAGCTGTGCTTCATAAAGTAGCGAACATCACATGCTTAGAAGACCCGAGTGCAGCAGCAGTCTCATATCTGGCTGGTGGGGATGGGAAATGGTGCGGCTACTGTGGAAAAATATTTGGGGGTTTGACTTAAATCTAAACACAGATCTGTCTCTTGACTCCACCAGTCGTCTCCTGGGTGTATATGCAACAGAAATGAGTGTTCATATCCACTAAATATTATGGAAAATAGTATTCGTAGCAGCATTCTTCATAATCTCCAAATAATGTAAAAAATACCCATGCCAACCAATAGGAGAGTGAAGAAATAGATCCTGATGTTTTCACACAATGTTATCGTACACAGCATACAGGATAAACCCAGCTCATGGACACAATGATGGTGAAAAGAAGAAATACGCAAAAGAGAAAATGCTTTGGGGCTCCAATTATGCCCATTCACAACATTAAAAACTAATCCCTAGGGAGAGAGTCTAAACGGTGGCTCCCACTGCAGGAGGAGCTACTGACAAAGACAGGGTGACAGAAACAGCCAAGGTGCTGGAAATATTGTAAATGTTGACCTAGATGAAGAATTCAATTTGTAGAAATGTAAAAATTTAAGCTGAGCCCTTCAAATTTGTACTTATTATTGTGTACATAAGATTTCTTTTTTAGTTTGAGAAATTTTAAACAAAAAAATATTAAAGTCAAGCGTAAACATCTCTTCCAAACATGAGACAACTCCAAGAAGCTCGGCTTTACAAGTGGGGCCAACACAAGTTACAGGGTATTGTAAGTGAAAAAGCATTTTGTCTGTTTCCCCCAAGTGTAAGCAATTTGAGTACACTTTTTTGTTTGTTTGTTTAAACTTATATTCACTTTCTGGTTTTGTATTGAGCACACTTTCTATGTTGAATATAGAGAAGTTGAAGGCACAGACAAAGCAGAGATGTTTTTAAAAAGCAAGTTCCCTGAGAACACAACAGGTGTGATGCAGCCACTGGCAAAGACACTGACTGTGACTAGAGGTAAGATCTCCTCCACAGAGGACAAGAGAAGCCAGGTATGAGACTGCGCAGATGAATCTTCAAGAACATTAAACACACATCCTATTTTTAACATGAAATTAATTACATACTGAAACATCAGCTGCTGGGGAAGTGCTGAAAATCTGAAACACATCTGAGTGGCTGCAGGAGCTGGTGTAGGGACAAGAGCTGCCCAGAGGAATGGGGCAGATGCGGGGAGACGTGTTCGGAGCCTCTGGTAAGGCTCAGGCAAAAGATGACGAGAGCCTGGACTAGGGTGCTGGTGAAGGAGCCAAGAAAAGCAGTGGAGGTGATGGACTCAGGAGATATGGATCATTTAAAATGAGCAGGACTAGGGATGAATGGATGCTGGGTTTGATGAAGTTAGGTGGAGTCCAGGAGCTATGTGGCATGTTTCCAGCCTTCTAACCTGCTTGGATAGTAAGACATTCCCTGAACTGAGTGTCTTTTTAGGCATCAGGAGCTAAAGGTGCCTCTGAGACACTGAAGTGGAGATGTGGGATTGAGGGAATGGGAAGGGGGGTATTTGGAACACAGGGTTGCAGATGGGGCTGGCCAAGAAGCCCAAGGGGAGAGCCCATGACTCAGTGGTGATACAAATCCACAAGGCAGATGACTCCAGCTACACTCATCAGCACATATGTAGGGCAGGGAAGTCCAAATGTCACATTGGTGTTTTTCAAGACAAGAGGGGCAGGAAGACATGGGGCAAAGGGCTGCTTCTGAGTCTCTGATGGTCTAACTGGAGGATGCATGAGTGGATGGAGAAGGTGGAAGAGTGGGATTCAGGGCATAATGCCGACAGTAATATCAAGGGGAGGAAAATCCCCTTTCTCTGAGTCCAGAAAGAAATGTGTGACACTACATTTATGATGATTAAAACTGTTCATGCATAATACCAACTAGCTGACATTTGTTGATCCTTTGGACCAAGAACTAAGCAGTATCATGCGTTATCTCTACATCCTCTAACAACTCAGTGACACAGAAATTATATCACTCTGATTTTTTTTGAGTAGAGGAGCCTGAGGTGATGTAAACCAAATCCATTAATTCTTTTCCATGGGCACACAGCCAAGTCACATTTGTCAGTCCTGAGCATCCAGGTGGCCAAACGCCTAGTTCATGTCAAGATTATGTGGTTGCAAAATATGTGTACAATGGGGTATGACTTCTCCCCTTCTTGTTCGCCTTCTACCAGCTGGATTGAGCCAGAGCAACCATAAAGATTCCTGTTCACAGCAGAAGGTAACTGTGTCTCTGAATAATTGTGTGGCTCAGTGCTCACCTGATGACGGACACTATACCCCAAAGTGAGTCAGAAACAACCAGGCCCCCAGGAGGCCACAAGGAGCAGTTTCACACAGAAATTCAGAGGTGGTGGTGCCCTCACATTCTCAAGACTGCCATGACTCCACCTGACCAGCTGGTGGCTGCTTACCTGCACAGGTAGGGTGTGAGAGGCCTCTCTTCACTGTCCATAGCTCCTGCCCATGCTCTAGCAGGTGGACCAACTCTGGTTTGGGAACCCGATGCCCTGTTGATAGCAAAAGAAATAGAATAGAAGTAATCTAATGAGAAAATGAAAGTCTCTCCATCCTGCCTAGGACTTCATGACAGGGGCCAGACATGAATGAAGCTGCTACCAAAGTAAGCAAAATGCTGATGTGAGACCTGAAAATCAAGTGAGTGAACTGTGTTCCCCATAAAAGTCGTACGTTGAAGCCCTAACACCCAACGTGACTGAATATGGAGACAGGATCTTTAGAAGGTAATTAAGATTAAATGAGGCTGTAAGGGTGGAGCCTTAATCTGACAGGATTATGGCCTTATAAAAACAGGAGGAGAGGGAGAGAGATCTATCCTGTGTCCCTCCACCATGTAAGAACACAGCAAGGCAGCCATCTGCAAGTCAGGAAGAGAAGTCTCATTAGGAATCAAACTTGCCAACACCTTGATCTTGGACTTCCCAGCCTCCAGAAGCATAAGAAACTAAACTCTGGCTGCTTAAACCACTCAATCCATGACATTTTATTATAGCAGCCAAGGAGATAAAGACAGGTACAAATCCCATTGTTGGGCTACAACTGCCATGGAGGGTAGTGCTATCTGTCTACACAACACCCACTGCCCATGACCTCCGTCTATGGAAGCCAACGTTGTTCAGGCACACAACACTTTGACAGCCATGGGAAACTGCAAAGGTGAGCCGCTTCCTCCAGAAGGCATTTTCTTTCTTTCTTTTTTTGAAACAGAGTCTCATTCTATTGCCTAGGCTGGAGTGCAGTGCTCGGCGCACTGCAACCTCTGCCTTCCAGGTTCAAGGGATTCTTGTGCCTCAGCCAACCCGAGTAGCAGGGATTACAGGCATGCAAAACCACACCTGGCTAATTTTTGTATTTTTAATAGAGACTGGGTTTCACAATGTTGGTCAGGCTGGCCTCGAGTGCCTGGCCTCAAGTGATCCTCCTGCCTCAGCCTCCCAAAGTGCCACTGCACCTGGCCCAAGAAGGCATTTTCTAACGAATCTAAATCATTGCTTCTCAAACACCTCATGCTTTCAGAACCACTTGGGGATGCCTGATTCTAACCTCAAACCAAATGAAACAAAATTTCTTCATGTGAGACCTGGGCATCAGTACTTTCAAAATGTGCCCCCCAAAATTCTGGGACCCAGATGGAGCTGAAAACCACTGGCTGAGGCTGGACATGGTGGCTCATGCTGTAATCCCAGCACTTTAGGAGGCCGAGGCAGGAGGATCACTTGAGACCAGGAGTTTGAAACCAGCCTGGCCAACATGGTGAAACCCCATCTCTACCAAAAATATAAAACATTAGCCAGGTATGGTGGTGTGTACCTATGGTCCTAGCTACTCAAGGGGATGAGGTTAGGAGGATTGCTTGAGCCTAGGAGGCAGAGGCTGCAATGAGCTGAGATTATACCACTCCAGCCTGAATGACAGAGCAAAACTCCATCTCAAAAAAAAAAAAAAAAAAAGGAAAAGAAAAACCACTGGTTGAAATAAATTGGTAAATGCAAGAGTCTTCATTAGGCAGGTGACCAAAGCTGGATTCTCATTGTGAAAAGAAAGCATTTATTCCAAGGTGGGAGGAGGGACTGACCATGGGGGCCGGCTGCCCCAGTCAAGGCTGCAGCACCCAGCATCCCTGTGAGGAGCCAGCCTGAGGACAATACAGAAGCCTGAACCAAGAAGGAACAAAGAACTCTGACATCCTTGATGGCATCACGGGGCTGCGGCACTGAACAAGCCTGGAGCCAACCACACCTCGGGCTTCTCATCAGGCGAGTTGGTGAATTTCCTTCCAGGTGAAGCCAGTTTGATCTGGTTTTCTGTTATATGCATCCAAATGCTTTCCACTAGATGTGGTGAGTAAAAGACAGGATTCTGTATGGAAAACCAATGACTGAGGTACAAGGACCCACAGAAATACCCAACTGGCAGATTCTGAACCATAGCCCATGATTCCTTCAGACATGTCACAGTAAGGTCCACCAATGTGTGCTATGTGCCTGGCTTTGAGTTCTGGGACAGGGCTGTGGGAAAGGTGAATCAGACGATCCTTTGGCTCTCCCAAGAGCTGAGCTCCCTGTCACTTTTCACACACTGGTTCCTCCACCTGGAACACTGTTCCCCTCCTCTACCTCCTTCCATCCAGCTAACTCCTACTCAGCTTTCAGGTCTCAGCTCCACTGTCACTTCCTGAGATGCCCTCTTTGGAATACCCACAATAGGTTATGATGTTCTGCTTATTTATTCCTAAATTCCCCTCATTTTTCTTTCTAGAACTTATTTCACCTGTCATCTATGGATTGATGTCTACCTTCCCAAATGAACTCAGAGTGTGCCATCATTTCTAATAACTTCTTTATCCTGACCCATTTTTGTTAAATATTGTATTCTAAAAGGGAACCTTGTTTTGCTGTGGTAAATGAGAAAGTCAATTTCACTTCCTACAAATAGAAGGCTGCAATCACAACAAAATCAAAACAATGCCACTAAGTCCCAGCAAGCCCACGTACCTTTCTCAGGGCTGAGTTGGAGGCTGTCCCCTCTGTTAAAAAAAGAAATGAACTGTACTGGGGCAGTGAAAGGAAAATGAAAGACTCAGCGCTGATCTGAGACTTTATTTTTTTATTTTATTTTTTTTTGAGATGGAGTCTTGCTCAGTCACCCAGGCTGGGGTGCAATGGTGTGATGTCGGCTCTCTGCAACCTCTGCCTCCCGGGTTCAAGCGATTCTCCTGCCTCAAACTCCAGAGCAGCTGGGATTACAGGCGCGTACCACCGCGCCCGGCTAATTTTTGTATTTTTAGTAGAGACGGGGTTTTACCATCTTGGCCAGGTTGGTATCAAACTCCTGACCTCGTGATCCACCTGCCTCGGCCTCCCAAAGTGCTGGGATTATAGGCGAGAGCCACCACACCCAGCCAATCTGAGACTTTTATGACAATTAGCATGCTGGACAAAGAAAGTAAAAGGAATGGCTTTATCAGGGTATCAACCCATGCCATTTGAGGACATTCCTGTGTACCCTCTAAAAACACCTTCTGGATCAACACAGCATGGGTATCCAGCATCAGAAAACAACCAATGGCCATGCAGGCATCCAGATGACTTTTTACAGATTGTATTGCTTAGGAAGATATCCGAGGGGCACTGAGGACAAATGTCTTCTGAGGGGCTGCCTGACTCACCCCCTTCTCTAAGAACAGCCCAACCCCCATGGCCTCTGCTTAACAGGGCTGTGGCCACAGCTGACCCCACCAGGATGGCCAATCAGTTTCCTTCTTATGCAATCTGGATTAAGGACCTCAGAATGGGCTGAGCACTGGAGTGAGGGTTTGTGTTAAAAGGACATTTTCTACCCCAACAATCTCTGATGCAGACAAAGGGAGACTAGTCAGGAAGAGGTGGGACCAGAAAATTGCAGGGTCTGTGAAGAGAAAGGTGGGCAGTTCCAGTGACCTTTTTGCCTGACCAAGAATCAAGAAGAAGATTAGGGTCCTCCTCAGGGATGAGAGGTGAGCCATTACCTAGTGAAACCAGGAGCCCACAGGTCTCCAGCATCACCTCTCGGTACAGGGTCCTCTGGGTCAGGTCCAGCTGTCTCCACTCCTCCTGCGTAAAGGTCACAGCCACATCCTTGAAGGTCACCAACATCTGGAAAGTTCAACAGAAGTAATGCTATTGGCCTTGTGTTGTCGGATAGGATCAGAACCTGTCACTCAGTCTCTAGTCAATGTGCAGAGAGATCCAGGTCTGAATCAACTAGGTCTCCTTAGGGCTGACTTCCGTGCAGGACTCAAAGGGGAGGCAGATACTGCCTTTTGACATAACGCAATTGTGCCTGAGAGAAATGCCTTCTATGGGAAGCTGTTGAAGATGACACAAACAATGGCAATCCCATGAGGACTATGGGAAGCAGACAGTAAGTGCTCTGGCATATTAAAAGAATGGAGGAAAATGACTGATACTAATCCAGCCATGGTAAGAGCAACAGCAGCAGCTAAGTGTGGCGGAAAGAAAGATAGATCAGACTGTTGCTGTGTCTATGCAGAAAAAGGAAGACATACGAAATTCCATTTTGATCTATACTAAGAAAAATTATTCTGCCTTGAGATGCTGTTAATCTGTAACCCTAGCCCCAACCCTGTGCTTGCAGAAACATGTGCTGTATTGATTCAAGGTTTAATGGATTTAGGGCTGTGCAGGATGTGCTTTGTTAAAAATGTGTTTGCAGGCAGTATGCTTGGTAAAAGTCATCACCATTCTCCAGTCTCAAGTACCCAGGAACACAATGCACTGCAGAAGGCTGCAGGGACCTCTGCCCAGGAAAGCCTGGGTATTGTCCAAGGTCTTCCCTCACTGAGACAGCCTGAGATATGGCCTCACAAGAAGGGAAAGACCTGACTGTCCCCGAACTCGACACTCATAAAGGGTCTGTGCTGAGGAGGAATGAAAGAGGAAGGCCTCTTTGCAGATGAGATAAGAGGAAGGCATCTGTCTCCTGCCTGTCTCTGGGAACGGAATGTCTCTCGGTGTAAAACCTGATAGTACGTTCTATTTACTGAGATAGAAGACCGCCTTATGGCTGGAGGTGAGACATGCTGGCGGCAATACTGCTCTTTACTACACTGAGATGTTTGTATAAAGTCAAACGTAAATCTGGCCTATGTGCACATCCAGACACAGCACCTTTCCTTAAAGTTATTTATAACACAGAGTCCTTTACTCACATGTTTTCCTGCTGACCCTCTCCCCACCATTACCCTATAGTCCTGCCACATCCCCCTCACCGAGATGATAGAGACAGTGATCAATAAATACTGAGGGAACTCAGAGACTGGTGCCAGTGTGGGTCCTCCGTATGCTGCGCGCCGGTCCCCTGGGCCCACTTTTCTTCCTCTATACTTTGTGTCTTATTTCTTTTCTCAGTCTCTCGTTTCCACCTTGCGAGAAATACCCACAGGTGTGGAGGGGCAGACCCCCTTCACTAAGTCCTCTGGTCCTCACTGTGTCCCTGTCAAGCTAAACCTTCCTTAGCTGTGGTAAAGCAAATAAATCTGACACTTGCCAGCTATGTGACCATGATGATGTCACATCATCTCCCTAAGGATCGATTTCTGAATCAACACAATAATTATTCCCATCTCAGCAGGCAGCTCTAAGAACTAAACAGAAAATGTTTACTTAAGCAATCAGTGGTGTGCCTAGCACATGTAAGTGCCTGATGTGTTTGGGAACTTTATTAATCCCTGACAGGCCCAGAGGTAAATGTCGTTATCACTTCCATTTCACAGCCAGCAACCAAAGGCTAAGGGAGCTTTAGAAGTCACACACAGCTTCATGTTTAAAAAGCAAAAGCAGCATTTGAGCACCACTAAAACACCTCACCAAGCTGCCAGAGGGCAGGCAGGTGGGAGTAAGGGGTGCTTTTAGCTAGAGCCAGCACTGCCAGGATGGGTGTGGAGGGGCAGCCCTGCAGAGACCTGAGAACAATGTCGTAGCCAAAGGGAAGTGCAAGGGCAAAGGCTGAAGAATGGCAAAGAACTTGGCAAGCTCAGGACTCCCTGGATGAATGCAGTGAGAAAGGGGAGAATGGAAGAGGAGAAGGAAGATATGGTCAAAAGGGCAGACCAAGCAGAGCCTTGCAGACCATGCTGGCAGGAGGAGGTAGATTTACTGGAAATGTGATGGGAGTCCCTGAAAGAGAGGCCTATTCAATCAACAACCATTTATTAAGTACAATGTATGTACTTAAGCCTGGCTCTTCTGAGTCTTGGGAGCAGGAAGCAATAGGCACTCACATTCCAGGGTTGGAAAAAGATCGTAAACAGGCAACTAAATAAATGAGTAAGGCAGTATCAGATGGCCTTAAAGATTCCGATGACAAGAAAACAGAGCAAGGAGACCAAAGAGATTTGGTCAGCTTTAAACAGTGCAACAGACGAGGCCTCTTTAAGCAGCGGACACCAGAGGGAGTCGGAAATAAAGCGAGGGAGGGAGATGTGGATGAGAAATGAACAACTACGACAGGAGCTGACAGTAATCTGGGCTATCATGAAAGTAATCAGGGTGACTGCTAGAGAGTAACCCTGGGCCTCATGTGTTATCCCCAAAGGGACACCACATCCTACATACCATCACCTCTGAACATTTTAATGGACTCGTTTTTCACCTGTAACTAAATGTCTTAAACAGGAAAATATAGTGTTAGTTGCAACCCAGCGTCACTTTCCCCAAACTGAAAGACAAATTCCTCAGCCTGCCCTACCACCTTTTCTGCCCTGGCATAGCAGCAACTGCAAAAACGCTCCTCCCACCTCCTTCAGCCGCTGCCCTTCGTTTTGTAGAGACAGGAGGCCAAGGAGGCCAGAGGGTCAGACTCCTGCTGGGGTTGAGTCTCTAAACCTAGCACACGCCCAGGGAGCATCTCCGGAAACAACATCCCGAGCGACGTCCCCGGACCGTGCTGTGCACTGCAACGGACGCACACACATCACCCAGGGAGCCGTTCAAGCTTCCTCAACCCAGGGGGGAAAAGAGTAAATATTTCTACTTTCCGCGTGCAAAAATGAAGGACGAGGACAGTAACGGGACTGGTTCAAGGTCGCAGGCCCGGGAAAGGACACGGCTGGAAGTCACAAGGAGGACCGCGATCGCTCCTCTTCCCTGTGAGGTGTTCCGGGTCCCTAAAAGCCCTATTGCACACCCCAACGCCGCACCCCAGAAACGGGGACGCTCCCCACCCACCCGGACTCGGGGCCGCTCGACCCCGTTCTAGGCCTCTGAGGAGCAACGGCAGGGACTGCACTGCGGAGGACCCCGAAACGCCGTCCTCCCGCTCGTCGGGCCCGGCACGCTGAGGCCGGCTGGCCGCGGGAGCCGAGCCCATCTGCTCACCTGCGCTGCGTCCTTCGCCTCTGCCATCCGACCGTTGGCAGGACGAGGCCGCGTGGGGCAGCTCCCACGGACTCAACACCCTACCCCGGGTCCTACAACGGAGCGGAAGTGAGCCCCAGTCTCCCCACCATCCTTCCCAGCACAGTTGCGAGAGTGAGGACCAACGCGTCACCCCGCAAACGTCCACGCCAGCGAGGCCAGAAGTCCCGCCCCTGCGTCGCCGCCGCCTGTCACGCCTGTTCCTGTGCCGACGTTGGTCCGGCGCACGCGTCGCCCCACTACCTTCTGGGTAATGTAGTCTCGTCCGGTGACGGGCCAGGCTTGGCTCTTTTTCCATTTTTATGATGCACACCATGATTGTGTATATCTCAGATGATCTTAGTGGAGCAAGTGTACACACTGGATTGTACATTTTTAAAACTTCCTATTGTTCGGATGCCTCAGCGTCCCTACAAGCAGGCTGTGAGCACTCGCCCAGGCACCCAGGTGAGCGAGTTTGATAAAGGGGGCCCTCCCTCGAGGTTCCCTGCTTGCCTCCTCTGAGTGACCCAGTGACGTTCCCATGTACCAGTGAAATCTTACGCCTGGTTACTGCGTCCTCCTCCACCCTGACCCCAGGCACTGTCCCTGGGACTGGCGTCGATCTGGATCCCCCGTTCCTGCGTGGAGCCACTCCCGGGACGTGCTCATGGGGTTCCCTCTGTGGGACGTCTGCGTCTTCTGGGAGGATTGGTGTTGCCCAGGGCTCGGGAAGGTCTCCAGGGGCCGTGAGACCCCCCACTTCCGGAGCCCAGCTTCTTGACACCATTGCGAGAAAGAATTCAGGGATGGGTCAAAATGAAGCTAACGGTGAAAAGCTTTTATTGAGAAGGAAAAGTACACATTTCTGAGAAGAGTGTACTTTTCCCAAGAGAAGAGGGAAGTGCGGACGAACGAGGGAGAGCGGGTCATGCACAATGGAGTTTGGGTTTCTAATTTTATGGGCTCTTCTAATTAGGGGGTGGAATAATCATGAGGTTTTTCTAGGAAAAGATAGAAATTTCTTAGAATTGGGGTGGCAACCATTTTTATACTAAATGTGGGCATGCTTGGCCTGGCACTGGTGGATGTGTGATTTAATGTGGCGATGAGCGTATAATTAGGTCTGGGGTAGGAAATGGGTCAAATCTAGCGTCGTGGGGAAGCGTAGCCCCCATCCTGTTTGTTAAGGTCTCATCAGCCCAGTCCCCTTGTTGGAGTAGCTAGTTTTAATAGCTTGATGTTTTCCTCCTTCTCCTGTGACCACACAGCATTCCTATTTTGTGAGTGTTTCTTTAATTAGAGAGTGGAATAATTATTACATATTCTGGAAAAGGAGAGAAATTCACGGATGCACCTGGTTACTGCCCCCTTTCTCTCTTATTTGATTTTACCCAGAAGAGTCATGGACGTGTCATCCCCACTGGGATTTTGGCCATTCTCTCTCTTATTTTGGGTTTTCTGTTATCCTGTGGTTTATTTGCCTAGTTCTTGTTTTTATTTGTTGTTTGAATTTTTCCATCATCCTGCAACCACCCAGTGCTATTCCTGTATCACTGTGAGTATAAACATCCTTTAACCTTATAGGCTTCTTGAAGTATAATTCCCAAGACCATGTTGCAGTGGTCCTTAAAGAACAAATAAGGCAGAGAGAAACAAACATGTTCCAAATTTTGTTCACAGAAGTAAACCTTACTCTATTGTTAAAGGCTGTAGCTAGCTCAAAAGAGGTTTCCTTGACTCTGAGAAACAAAACAAGGATCAGCAATGTTCCAAGAGAAAGTCAAAAATATTATTTCAGTTTTTCTATTAGTTCAGCCTATTCTGTTAACTGTTGTTCTGCTTGATATTTATAAACATTTTAGCTTTTCATGAGTCCTGTATGTTTTTCAGTTATCAGAAACCTGCATTTAAGAATACGTGTTAAAGTCCTACGTTTGATTATGAACCATATTTTGAAGAGGATTAAAACAAGATAACAATTGTCTATAAATTACAAAATGTCCAGAGTGGTTAGTCAAAAACATGATTGACCAAAAAATTTGGTTATCTCTGTGGTTTACAATAACTTAACATAACAACCTTAATTGTGGTTGATAGCATATACTTTGACATTAGAATTTTCAAAATCCCGTGCAATTTTGGAACGCATATTAACAGTATTTGCTGAAATATAACCTGAAGAAGATTAGACATCATTTTGGCAATCCCACGTAACTAAACATGTCAAATAATCCTGCTTACCTCTTTTCTGGATGCCCCCGGGGGCCCTCTGTAGCATCCAAAAGCTAGGTGTCAGGAAAGACAATTGATTTGTGGAAGTCTGTTAAATATGTTAACAGGCTTAAAATATTTGATGTTATGTAATAGAATTCCAGATTACTATGTTATTTATTTTGCCAAAATGATGACTCAAAAATTTGAAAAAGCAAAAACCTTTCATTAGCTGTTACCATTACATGAAAATTGTGTTCAAGAGAGAGAAAGCCGGCCGGGCACGGTGGCTCAAGCCTGTAATCCCAGCACTTTGGGAGGCCGAGGCGGGTGGATCACGAGGTCAGATCGAGACCATCCTGGCTAACATGGTGAAACCCCGTCTCTACTAAAAATACAAAAAACTAGCTGGGCGTGGTGGCGGCGCCTGTAGTCCCAGCTACTCGGAGGCTGAGGCAGGAGAATGGCGTGAACCTGGGAGGCGGAGCTTGCAGTGAGCCGAGATCGCGCCACTGCACTCCAACCTGGGTGACACAGTGCGAGACTCCGTCTCAAAAAAAAAAGAGAGAGAAAGTCAAATTTCACCCTTACATTGGTGTACTATTAATGTCAACCACAATTTTTAATGAAACCTTATAGGCAATTCTATCCAATCTTAACCAATTTGACAATGAGGTGAGATTTTCACAAACCTTTTATAACCCTTTACAAATTTTGGTAGAGTAGATTCGTGCATTAAGAATTACTTCTTGTGCTTTTATATCAATGCTCAATTTACAGAAAATCATATAATGCCCTTTTGAATTTTGTCAATATGTTCACACAGAGTTTCCTTTGCAAGATTAATTCTTGCAATTTTGCCCCAATTTGCTTAAACCTTCAGCTGTATTTTATCTACTTTAAGAAATTCTTTATCCCTAGGCAAAATGTACATTGCCATGCCTTCTTATAATTTTTTATAAAAAACACATTTTGCTGTTTTTACACACCTTGCATGTAAATCTATTTCAGTAGTCTCAATTACAGGTCATAATGGTAACTCTTAGCAATTTTTTTTTTAAGACAGAGTCTTGCTCTGTCACCCAGGCTGGAGTGCAGTAGCACAATCTCAGTTCACTGCAACCTCCACTTCCCAGATTCAAGCGATTATCCTGCCTCAGCCTCCCAAGTAGCTGGGACTACAGGCACGTGCCACCACACCAGGCTAATTTTTTGTATTTTCAGTAAAGATGGGGTTTCACCACATTAGCCAGGATGGTCTCAATCTCCTGACCCCGTGATCCATCTGCCTCAGCTTCCCAAAGTGCTAGGATTACAGGCGTGAGCCACCACACCTGGCCCTACCTGTTAGCAATTTTTAACTTTAATGTAAAACCTGGTAAGTTGTTTTAATTATGTGCTAGGTGCAGATAAAGTTTAACTCCTTCCAGAATAAGTCAGGTGTGTGGTTACTTCCATATGTTCCCAGACTTTACCCATTGTGAAGCAGGCAAGTTGAACAGTTCTTTAAGGCCAAAGGAGCAGTACAATCTTAAAACATTTAGCAAACCTAGTATCTGACTTGCATAATTTAGACCACATATTTACATCCTGAATACATTTGTGTTTTACCAATAATCCCTAAGACTGTTTTAGTTTTAAAGATTAAAGTCACATGAACTAAGAGGAGTTACAGTTTTTACTATTCTTTCAAAAAATATTTGATCGGCCAGGTGCGGTGGCTTACACCTGTAATCCCAGCACTTTGGGAGGCTGAGGCGGGTGGATCACGAGGTCAGGAGATTGAGACCATCTTGGCCAATATGGTGAACTCCCGTCTCTACTAAAATGCAAAAAATTAGCCAGGCATGATGGTGTGTGCCTATAATCCCAGCTACTTGGGAGGCTGAGGCAGGGCAATCACTTAAACCTGGGAGGCAGAGGTTGCAGTGAGCCAAGATCACACTACTGGACTCCAGCCTGGTGACAGAGTAAGACCCTGTCTCAACAACAACAACAACAAATTGATCTAAGTGCTTATAAACCAATCAATTAGAGCTCTTTTTTATAGACATCACACAACACATATATGACTACACAGACAGACAGAAGAAGATCCAGAAGATCAGGGTGGAGCCCTTTAAGAGTAAGGCTATGAAAGCATATAGTTTCTGGGGCCTAATAAACAGGCATAGCTTGAAGGCAAAAACAGATTTTGAGAGAGATTTATCGATCTCTAATTATTGGGGTTCCACGAGGAAAACAGAGATTTCCCCCAAACTGAATCTGTGGCACCTTGTCTGTTTTCTCAAGTAGTCCAAGGCCATCAGAAGTCATCCTTGAGCCTTTCATGCATGCATGAAGATTGGCAAGACAGAGTGGAGAAAAGTAATTCAGTTGACTGAGATACAAAACTTTTCCAGAAAAAACAAGATCTAAGAAGAGAAAAACATAAAGGCGTTTCAAGTACATCTATAACTTGGGTATCCACTTTTAATTAAGCTGAGTGCTCTTTCAGAAAATTCTTCTTCATTAATTAAAACTTTACAGATAATATAAACAGTGATCCTTATCATTTTTTTTTTACTGGTGTGCATCACTCTCTGTTGACAATCATGTTCAGCTTCTCCAGTTTACTTTTGGAGAACGTGGCTGGGTTCAGGCAACGACAGGTTTTTACTGGACTGTAAATCCCTTTAACAACAAAGCCTGATATTTGAGGAGGCGATTGTCTGTTAGCCAGAGAGTTACCTTAGAGGATAGCAGTCCTGCTATATTATGTGGGGTCTAAACAGTTATTTTCTGGCTGTGCTTGGTGGCTTACACCTGTAATCCCAGCACTTTGGGAGGCTGAGGCAGGTGGATCACAAGGTCAAGAGATCAAGACTATTCTGGCCAACATGGTGAAACCCCATCTCTACTAAAAATACGAAAATTAGCTGGGCATGGTGGTGCATGCCTATAGTCCCAGCTACTCAGGAGGCTGAGGTAGAAGAA